GAACAGAGGGACACCACACCACATTTGTATACGATGGCCAAAACATCTCAGGAATCGTTCCGAGTGTCCGTCGCCAAGTGTGTCCGGATCGCATACCAAAAGCTGATACGCGCCAATAGCAGAAGCCGCCAGAGCCCGAACATGCAGAGGAGAAACACGGCATTGCGATGCCACGTGGTGCCTCGGAGGCGTACGGGGCACACGCTCTGCACTGCCTCGCGTGCTGGGCTGTGCAATGCCATGCGCTGGGGGAGACACGGCAGTGTGGAGGCAACCACAACGTTGGACGCAAATGCCACTGGCATCGCCTGAGCTTTTCAATTGCAGAGGAGGGGCTCAGAGGCAGCGTTCGGGGGGACTGGCTCTGGGGGGGGGGAACATCGACCTGGACTCGGCGATGCATTGCCGATAGATCGGCGATAGGCTCCCGCGAATGAAACCGCACAGCCCTGGGCGGAGTGGGCCATCGAGCCGCTATCAGCGATCCATGGGCGAAGGGTCACTCCCCCCCCCCCTTGAGCCTATTCCCCGCCCAGCGTTGCCCCTGAAGGGCTTCTACCCTCGCCGCCTGCGAGGCGGCTGGCGCGCCCGAGGGTCAGTGCCGCCCTGGCCCGCGCGCGCGAAACCCACGGCGGGCGGCTGCCGCGTGCACGAGTGGGAGATGCCTTGTCGAGGGCTGGACGCGCTTGGAGGAGGAGGAGGAGGAGGAGGAGGAGGAGGAGGAGGAGGAGGAGGCGCGCCTGGATGGGGGAGGGCCCCCAGTGGTGCCGGTCTCCCATCAAGGCGCGCACGCGCGGTGGCCACCAGGTCAGGAGTGCAGGGGTAATCGCTGGCGTCGGGGGGCCGACATCGGGGCAATCGAGGGGCAGGGGGGTTGTCCCCGGGCGGCTCTCTTTGGCCTGCTGCCGCCGCGAGCTGCCGCTGCCCCGCCCTCCTCCTCTGCTTCCTCGCCTTCCCCCGGCGGGGGCGCAGCCGCCTCCGCCCCCTGGAGGTCGCCACAAAGCTGAAAGCTGAAACCTGATGAAAACCGTGGTCCTAGAGCCTGAACCTCGATCCTAGAGAACCTCGATCGTCGAAAACTGCGGCGACGACTGCTGGGAGGGGCAAGGTACGCTGCTGCCGCTGGACGCCCCGGCTCCCCCCCCTACACCGCTGTCGGTTGCCGACTGAAGACTAAGAGGCTCGCTCCCCTCTCTCCAGGAGGATCGAGGATGGAGGCTTTTGAATTCGGACCAGCTTGCTGAGGGGGTCTTACTTGCTTCGAATGGGATTTGAACTGTCTGCTGCAATTTCTGGTGGCCGCCCTGGCCTTATGTATGGTGCGGTCTGATGCTTCATTTGCTGCGATTTCTGGTTGCCGCCCAAGTTCCTTATGGGTGCTACCCTTGTTGCCCTGGAGCCTTACGGGTAGTGCCCTATGACTGGTGTATAAGAATTGTTATGATTCCCCATTTGCTCAAATTTCTGGTTGCCGCCGTGGTGCTCTACGTATGGGTGTTGCCCTGTCGCTGGTGCGCTATGGTGATCCACTAGCTGCGATCTCTGTCTGCCGCCTTGGTGGATTGTAGTCAACGCCGCGACAGCCGTTTGGGGTCCACGCTGGCAATCATTTGCCCAATTTGGCCCTCTGGATGCCTCCGAAGGCCACTGGGGGACCTCCTGGACCCTTTGGGGATCTCATCTCCAGGGACCGCCAGGGACCTCTGGGAGGAAGGAGGACACATCCCCTGCTACTGGGGGACGTCTTTATGGAACAACTTTGCCACACTTGGGGTCTAGGTTCGGCAAGTGGGGCATCACCTGCCATCCATATGGAACGTCTCGCCGCGATAGACAAAGGCATGCGGCCACGAACAAGATCTCTCGCCATTGCCGCTGCATTTGAATCTTTCAAGTTCTGGGATCGTGACCGATTCTCTCTGTTCCCAGGCGTGCTTTCAGAACTCTGCGGCATTTTGCCAGGCGGTCTGCGTCGATAAAACCGCCAGCCCAACGGGCCAGCGGCGTGCTAAGATCTCCGGTAACTGGTCCAAAGCATTGAATCGCTTCGCTCATTCCGCTGGCCCGTATTGTATCAGTGTTGCTATATGTTGGCGTGTTCGTTGTGAGCGAGGAGGAGCAGGAGGAGTAGAAGGAGGAGGAGGAGGAGGAAGAGGGGAGGATGACAAGCTAGGTGCGCTCGCGTCATATCTGACATCCTACCCCTCCCTCCCATCCCTTACCATGGCGTAGATCCCCTCTCTACTCGCACAGTCGGATGTCGAGCAGGGCAATGATCCCGAAAGGGTACGCGATGCATTGTAGAGCACGGCATGGCATGGCGTAGAAGAGCACCGCAAAGCGTGGTATGTCACAGCATGGCGTGGCGTGGCGTAGTGAAGAATTGCATCACAAAGCTTTGCAACGCAAAGCATGGCATCGCACAGCGGCCCCGAACATAACATTGCATAGCATGGCGTTGAAGATCAAAGCGTAGCATGGCATAGCACGACGTGGCACTTAAGCACTGCATATCACAGCTTCAGCTGAAGGCATGGCATCGCGCAGCGGAACGCAACCTAGCATTGCATTGCATGCCGTGGCATGGCACGGGAAATGACGCCAGCGCTGCAGCGGGAGCACGATTCGGAACGAGCGGAAGCGCGGAAATGAGGCCAGCGCTGCAGCGGGAGCACGATTCGGAACGAGCGGGGCCCGAAAATGAGGCTGGCGCCTCAGCGAGAGCAGCATTTTGAAACAAATGTAGGCGACAACCTAACTCCGGGGAATCCTGTGTAAAAAAAAAAAATACGCGGGGGGGGGGCGAACACTCCCAACCCGTCATCAGGGAAAGGAGGAGAGTAGTATTCATATTGAGTAATTAATTGTGGAGGCCTCTCGATGGCTTCTTGGGGCATTTGTGGGGTCTCCTGGGAGAGCTCTCGGGGGCATCTTGGCGTCATTTCTGGGACCTCCTGGGGCGTCACGGGGGCCTCTTGGGGGTCTCTTGGGGCATCTCGGGGGCTGGTCAGTGGTGGCATCTCGGAGAGCTCAAGGATGCTTCTTGCTGTCCTTCTGAGAGCACGCGGGAGCTTCTGGGGGGGAGTAATTGTGATCCTCTTGGGAGCCCTTAGAGTCTTTCTTGGGAGGCCTTCGGAGCCGGTCTCTTGGAGTTTCCTGGAGGCTTCGTGGAGCCCCTTGGGCGCCTCTTCGAGAGCTCTTGGGGACCTCTGGGGATCTCCTGGGAGAGTCCGGCTCGAAATGTCTAGAGCTCTGGGGAGCTTCTTGGGAGCTCTTGGGGGCCTCTTGGGAAGCTTTCCGAGGAGGTCTTGGATGGCTCCTGGGCCTCTTGGAACGGTCTTGCTGCCCTCTTGGGCTGCTTTGAGGTCCTCTTGGAGGTCTCTTGGGCTGTCTTGGATCGATTTTGGAGGCTGGGCTCGAAAAGTTCGTTTGGGTTCCCCGTCTGGGCTCCCTCTTGGGGCAATCCCGGGGGCCATTTTGGGTTGTCTTGGAGGCCTGTTGGGCCGTCTTGGAGCCATCTTGCGCCGACTTGGGACCTTCTTGAAACCCTCTTGGGCCGTCTGGGGGCGATGTTGAGGGTCTCTTGGACTGTCCTGGAGCGTCGGGAAGCCGAACAGGTGAGAACGCCAAGAACCCTTCTAAAACCAAAGGGAAATCAATGATCGTTGTGTCCTGGGGCCCTGTGGAGACGCTTCTTGGAGGCGTCTGTAAGCGTCTTCGAGGCGTCTGCGGCCGCGTGGAGGCGATCTTGGGCGTCTTGGACCGATCGGTCGGCGACTCGGAGCTCTCTTGGACCAGCTTGGGCGCCTCTTGAGGCCCTCTTGGGGCGCTCTGAGGGTGCGGAAAACTGCCCCGGGAAATTCCGGCATCCTTGAGCAGACCTTGCCGGGAGTCTGCCGGGGAACCTTGCCGGGGACTCCCTGGGGCCGCCCCGCGCGCTAGTGTGGACCAGTTACCGCAGATCTGCCGCTGGCCCGTTGGGCCGGCGACGTTGGCATGCCGCTGGCCCGTTGGGCCGGCGAATTTCTAGCTCGCGCGCGCGGGGCGGCCCCTGGGGGTCCCCGGACGAATTCCCCGGCAGACGCCTGGCAAGGTCTCGGCAAGGTCTGCTCAAGGATGCCAGAACTCCCTGGGGCGGTTTTCCGCACCCTCAGAGCGACCCAAGAGGGCCTCAAGAGGCGCCCAAGCTGGTCCAAGAGAGCTCCGAGTCGCCGACCGATCGGTCCAAGACGCCCAAGATCGCCTCCACGCGGCCGCAGACGCCTCGAAGACGCTTACAGACGCCTCCAAGAAGCGTCTCCACAGGGCCCCAGGACACCACAATCATTGATTTCCCATGGTTTTTGAAGGGTTTTGGCGTTCTCACCTGTTCGGATTCCCGACGCTCCAGGACAGCCCACGAGGCTCTCAACATCGCCCCCCAGACGGCCCAATAGGGCTTCAAGAAGGTCCCAAGACGACGCAAGATGGCCCTAAGATGGTCCAACAGGCCTCCAAGACAACCCAAGATGGCCCCGGGACTGCCCCAAGAGGGAGCCCAGACGGAGAACCCGAATGAACATGTCGAGCCCAGCCTCCAAAATCGATCCAAGACAGCCCAAGAGACCTCCAAGAGGGCCTCAAAGCAGCCCAAGAGGGCCCGAATACGGCCAAAGAGGACACCAAAACGGCCTTAAGAAGGGCCCAAGAAGCGGACCAGGAACCGTAAAGTCCAGTCTTCAGCCCCAAGAGGCTCCCAGGAGACCCCAAGAGGCCCCCAAGAGGCCCCAAGAAGCCCCAAAGAGGCACCCCAAGAAGCCCCAAGAGGCCTCCGAGAGGCTCCAACACGGTCCCCAAGAGACCTCAAAACTGCCTCCCAGAGGCCCCCGAGAGGCTAACCACGAGAGCCCAACCAACATCCATGAGGCCTCTGACCCGCCACCCACCGCCTCCGAAAAATGGCAGCCGCAACAACATGCCGACAAACGACAGCGGCGAGGCACTACGGGCCGGCGGAATGAGCGAAAATAATGATCAGACCAGCATGCGGATGAGGGGGGACATGAGCAGGAACAGTGGGATGAGCGGGAGGAGGATGGGGAGCAGGAGCAGGGAGAGCAGGGGGAAGAGGATGTGAAGCCGCGGCGCGCGCACCTCAGTGCGGCTGCGAGTAAACCGACCCTGCACGCAACGCGCCCGAGGCCACCGAAACCGATGGCACATCAGCGCTCCAAGCCTGCCGTCCCTCTGCGTCGCTACCTGGCACGCACGGCATATCGGGCCGGTCCCAGGCCTGCAGCCCCAGAACGGAGCGGGCATCAACGGAGCTGGAGTCTCTGGGCTGCGGCTCCTGCAAGGAGGCCTTCGTGAGCAAGGCCCTGTGGCCCCTCGTCGCCGGCAGCGACGGCAAGTTCTCGCGCAAGACCCTCTCGATGTCCTCGAGGCGCTTGGCGATGCCGTGGGACGTCGACGATGTGGAGGCTGTCAGCTTGTAGAGGCTGTAGACGTCGATGCTGCGGGCCATTCCCTTAAGGCGTAAGCACCCGCCCAAGAACTCGTCCAGCTCGAGCTCCCCATCATTATCCTCATCGAGGAGATCAAACAACTTCTCTGTGTCCTGCACGTCCAGCCCAAGCGCCGTGAGATAATACTGCACGCGGTCGTCGTTGCAGAACTCGTTGACCTCGTCCTTGCTCACGGTCCCAGAGCTGTCAGCGTCCATCTCCAGGAAGATCTTCCTCATCTCCTTCAGCCACTGCTCCTTGACCTCCATCTCCTTCTGGACCAAGAACTCCCTCTGTGTCCTCGCCGTCTCCACGGCGTTGTCCACGAACACGCCTGCGCGCTGAAACAAAAGGTTTGACGTCGGCGAGGTTTGCGAGGAGGCGACGGCGTGGAGCGCGCTGCTCTTGGGCCCCTCGGGGGGCCCGAGATCTGGCCAACACCGGCGCGTTCCCCCAAAACGTCGAGCACAGCATCCCCAGCAGGATGGAGCCGATCGAAAGATCTGCCAGCACTCACATGCCGCTTGGGAGTCTGAGGCGTTCAACCTCCGCCCTCGAGTCTCCTCACTACAGTCGGGCCGCTGAAAAAAGGAACGCTAAACAAGGAACGAAGCCCCTTCTTGGCCCTGTGATCGCCTCCGTGCCCCAGGAGGGCAAGAGGAACAGCACTGGAGGAACCTAAGGAACATCGAGCCCCTTCCGAACCAAAACTGTTCCGTATTTCAACGTCTTGACTTTATTGTTCTTCCCCCGCCAGCCCACCGGTGATGATATTCATCACAGCAAGCATCGTGAAGGACAGGTAGCCTACGAACCCGAGCGCCAACAAAGGCCCTGTCCAGCCAGGAATGGTGTACAGCGCGGACGGTATCCTGTACCAGCTGACACCGTTGAGCATGCAATGGAATAAGGTGAATACCGTCATACCCAAATTGGCGAAATGTTCACGGATCAGAACGGACGTGTCGCTCATCTCATTGAGCCTCACGTGATCGGAGGTGTAGTGCGTGAAGAAAATTGCGAAAACGTAGATGACGATTGCCAACATGATGAGGGCCCACACCAACGACTTGACAGAATCTACGATCATGAAGGCTAACTGGCTGAGTTTGTTGAAAAAGCGGAACACCCGCACAACGCGGATGATCCTCAACATCTTGATCGTCTTGAAGCCCTTGCCTATGACGGAGGCCAGCCCGTCGCCGCCCGACAACGCCATGAAGTCAACGAACGACATCGTCACGAGGAAAAAATCAAACCAATTCCAATTCCTGTTTTCGGAGAACACGAAAAAGCACCCAACACCATCGGCCAGAACGCGAATCACCAATTCGACGAAGAAGAAACAAAAACATAGCAACCCAACGATTTTCGTCCACTCTGGTTCCGTATCGCTGGTGGTGAGCCACTGAACCTCGAAACCAATGATGATCGAGTTATTAATGATCATGAAGGCGCAGAGCATGTCGAATAGCATGTGGTCAACGACTCGCTGAAGGCAAGTAAGGTTGTTATCTGTCTGTGAGGAATTTTTGATACGGGTTTTCTTCCTGCGTCTTTTGAGACTGTCCACGACAGTTCTCCGAGCTGCGGGCGACATCGCCGCGGCCTGAGACGAAATCTGGCCTGGCAACTCAGAGGGGTCCTGCGTCGGCGGGTCGACGCCACTGGGCGCCGGCTTTGGCGCGGTAGCATGATTTTGTGCAGGGTCGAAGGACGTCCTCGGCTTGCTGCCAGACGAATCGTTCAACACATATCCACTGCATACCTCGCTCGCTGCCTTCTGCACCGGGGCAAGCGCAACGAGTCCGCCGCTCGGGCTGCAGAGGAGCTCTCGCAGGGCCTTCTTGTGGCCGCCCTGGGCCTCGTCGAGGAGCGACTGGTACCGCACGACCAGGTCCTCGAGGCCCAGCACCTTCTCTCTCAAGCCCGCAACCTCCGAGTCGTGCGTGGCAGAGAGCGCCTCGAGTTTGTCGCGGAAGCCTGCGCCGCCGTTCGAGGTGCTGTTCGGACGTGCCCCGCGGCAAAGCCGAGGGCTCACGCAGCGCCCGCCCCGAGCTGCAGAACTGGTCGCATCCAGGGGCCTCGAGGAGCGAGGGGTTCCTAGCGGACTGTCCGTGATCAGCGGCGGCAGTGAGCCCGGGGGCTGTGCGATCTCTGCGGTCGGTGTCGGCGTTGGAGTGCGCGGCTGGGGTGCGTGCCGCGGCATCGGCCGATCAGCGCGTGGGCTTGGCCGGCGTCAGCGATCTCCTTCACATGGATTTGGTGCTTGGCTCGTGCTGCTTGAGCCATGATACTACACCCCAGCCCAGAGTTCAGAGACTCATACGCAAAGAACGCCGACATCACTCCAAGCGTTTTCTTAAACAGTGGTCCAGGTCCAGATATACAAGAACACTCTACGCAAAAAGAAGCTCCAAGAGAACGCCCAGGGTCCAGCCCAGATCTTGGATTTTCTTGAGCGAAATCTGGAGTCCACGAACGTTTACGCTTCTTCTTATGATTTCTGTTGGGTGTAGGCCGAACCACGACGGGAGACGACGATGACGATGGCGATGATGACGACGATGCCGATGGGCGGCGATGAAAATGCAGACGTTGCTGCTGCCGTTCCTCTGCCTGTTCCTCCTCGGCCTCCTCCTCCTCCTCCTCCTCCTTCGCCCTCTGCTGCCGAGGTGAGCTTCCGTCCCTTGGGCGCGCCAATGGCACGAGCGAGGGGGGTTGGCAGGTTGAGGTTGAGGTTGAGGAGGACAAGAAACAAGCATGTTCCACTTGCAGCGTACGTGCACCCAAACATGATCTGGCTAATCCCCCCCCCCCAAGGAGATGCCATGCGTTAACTTGTGCCACGGGTGCGTTCCTCTTCCACCCGAGAATGTGGAGCGCGTGGATGGGCTCCAGAGGCAAGAGTGGCAACATTTTTTACACCAATTCTGAGATACTGGGCCGTAGTGGTGGTGGCGTTTTTTGTTCTACGAAGCGACAGCAGCAGGGGTCTGCTGTCAGTGTGTTGTGTGCCAGCGTACATCGCGTAGATTGCATCACATAGCTGTCATAGTCACGCTGTACTAACTTACTGTTTCGGGTCCACGCTGGCCGACATTCTGGAAAGAACTCAGCAATTCGGCAACCGCCATTTTCGAGCAGCCATGTTCTCTGAACGCAAAGCTGCCCAATTTCTCAGCATGAAATTTCAGAATCTCCCAGAATGCGCGCGACCACCCCCCCGACGGCCCGAAACGGCACCATCACCACGCCCGAGCCGCGTCCTCAGAATTTCTCTTGACACTTTGAAACATGGAACACACAAAGAAAAATCGTTACGATCCCCCCCGCCCCCCCAAAAAATGGACCCGGGCTCTCCAAGTCGCGATCCGTCGTGAACAAGTGTCCCGCGCTCCTGATGCCACGACCCCATGTAATAGAAGGATGGATCCGCGGTCCCGAGGCCTTCGAAAACTCGTCGTTGTCGTCCTCGCCGTCGTCGTCGTCTTCCTCCCCCTCCTTCTCCTACATGGGGTGTTCTCTGGTGCTGCGGGACTGGTCGTGACCGACGCCATGTTCAATGTCCGACCTCCCCCATATAAAACATATCCAGCGCCCCAACCACACCGCCAACGTCATCTTCAAAGACACCGTTTTCGTCGCACTCCTCATTGCCATCGTCGTTTCCTTCGTGTTCACCCAGGCCATGAACGCCATCGTCAGCATCGTCATCATCGTCATCTTCATGCTCATCACCGTACATGGTCATGGGCATCCCGCAGCTTACCAACACCAGGCACAAGCCACGAACCCCGCGTCGCGGTTTTCATCCTCACCATCATGGCAATCAACATGGTCACCGTTATGTCAACATCACCTTAAGCGTGCGCATCGGCTGCGACCGCAGGTGATAGTGTAGCCCGTGTCATGGGAAGCCTATCGGGTCTCAATACAACGCAAGCGTATGAAGGGAAGACATCGCTTGGTATGCCGACTACTATATGGAAAATACCTGACTTGATTGCGAGACGGAATGCTCGTAGAAAAAGGCTCACGAAGGATCCTACCCCTATTTTGGTCCAGATGGGGTGCCGCACTGCGTTGTGAATAGTAGCGGGGGCGAGGAAGAGGAAGGACCATAATCAAGAGCTGCACGAGATATTGTTCGGCAGAATGTATGGAGGCAGTGACGTGCCTTGTTTATGATCACAATACGCACGACACGAGGAGCAATGCGATAAGCGACAACGATGTCGCAGATGGCAGGTGTGTTGAAGTTGCATCGACATGCGCAGCACCATCGAATCCTTGAACCTCCCAGAGGTCGAGGACCTGTGACCCCGTGATCTTGATGCAGCTGCCCGACGCCTCATCTGGCTGACATGCCCTAATAAGGGTCGTTGGGAAACGCAAGCTCGCACCACGACGCAGTGTCGGGTAGCCACATGCCAAATTCCTCGGAGGCGCAAGCATCGCTTACAATATTATACAGCTTCGTACTATTACTGGTGGCCGATATTTCGATTGAGCGCCACTCGACTTCGCTGAAGAAATTCGTCCATCCGCTGCACTCATACATCGATGGCCTGGAGCCGCACATTTGCGGCTTGACGCAATGCTTCTTGGCATCTACTGTGGCTGTGATTGTATACGCTCCGGACCCAGTCTCATCCAGCGTAAAACTCGAGGCTTAGCCCTGCGAAAAGGGACTTTTCACTGATAGCAATACATTTTGACATATTCCATCGAAGCTGCAAACTGTCACACTCGATGCATGCCCCAACACCGAAGCATCACACTGGTCGGCATTCGCAGATGAGGACGACGCGCGCGCAATCAATGCCACTTGCGTGTCCCGAGCAAGTGATAGGAAGGCACACGCAGACAGTAGTAAACGCATCTGCGTCCTTACGCTGTTTCCCGAGCACGCGGGCCCCACTTTTTCTCTCTTACCTACTCGGTGTGAACCACTTGAACGGAATTTTCTCGCACTAGGACGGCTACGTTCGGACAACGATCGTGTGGCGTATTGGTCTACCGACGCCTGTCTGGTATAACATTCGGATCGGCTATCCAGACATCATAGAAACGCCCTGGCCCTGTCCATAAGAACGCCCTGCTTTATTCGAGTCTCCCACCTGTGCTGCGCTGTAAGCGCGCTGGTATACGACGAATCGTCGATGATCCGATCGCCAAAACACCGAATCGCAACGCGAATCACACTTCCGTGTCATACGATGTTCTCTGAGATGCAGTTGGGTGTCATGCAACTCATCGCACTTTCGCCTGCTGTCCTGGCAGGGAAGGGCAGGCCGGCGGGGGGAGGGGAGGGGGGAATCGGCTTACCCATCGCCACTCATCAAATCGTACCGCAGGGTTCTACTGGCCCTCTCGACCCCCCCCTGGACGTGCCTGCCAGTGAACATGGAGTGCGGCAGTGGGGGAGGCCTTCTGAGAGTGCAGGGGGGCTTCTTAGAAGGGATCGGGCCCTGTGTAAATTCTTGTGGCAAAGCCTTTTAGAAGACGCGCCCACCCCTCGCCCCGTGCCTTTCTTCTCGGTCTAGTAGAAATTTTGCGCACCGCCAGGAAGTACTGCCCATCGCTAAAAGTTCGACCTCCAGCCTGGGTCTCTGGCGGCCCCAGGGAGGACCACAGGAAAAACCTCCGCGAGGTCTTCTGCGGTCGAGGAGGCGCAACAAAAAACCGTCAGCCCCAAAGCCACGATCCCCGAACCGCTTCTCTGCCGTTCCTGGGCCAATGAAGCCTGGGGCCCAGAGAATCTCAGGACGGGCTCGGGCAAGGCTCCAGAGGCGGGGGGGGGGGGGTGCCAGAGATGCCAGAGATGTCGGCGGCAGTGCGCGCGCGCGCCTTGGGAGTGGCGGGCAAGGACTGGGGGTGGGAGGGGGGGGCACTACGATCAAGTCGGGTCTGTCCCTCTACAGGGGGAATTTTCAAAAATCAATCCAAAAAAATAATCAGGGGACTATTTTTTTGAATATTGCTGGGCATATTTTGGGCATTTTTGTCGAATATTTTCAACTTTTCGTCCAAAATCCCCCTGCAGGCCCGACCTAACATTACGATCAGGAGTTCTTGCTCAGTGTGTCGCTGCGGCGGCCCCGGCGACACGCTATGCCCCGCAAGCTGATAGCGCGTCGCTCCGCAAATTACGGGGCGGCGAGCCTCGAGAAAGGATCGGGACGCTGACGCCCGAGGACCGCGGCGGTGGTCGGCGTGTCGCGCAGAGGCGCGGTGGGCCAGAACCGGCGGCGCGACACGCCAAGCCAAAGTTCCTGGCTGTAGAGGCACAAAGAATAGACGTCGTTCATTTCTAATCGTGCTCATTTCTAATTGTGCTCGTTTCTAATTGTTCCTGGCCCCCTAGTGGCCAGGAAGAGGCCCAGGATAGACCACTCAGAAATGAAATGATGTTGGCCCCCCACAAATCAAAAAGCTTTCAAATCATTAGACATGAACAATGAGTAGGAGTTATCTGCGTGAAGAGCCCCGAACGGTCCTCAGTGCTTTCACGAGCGTGTATACACAAAGAGCTACCCGTGGGTGGGCTGTGCCAGAACCGCGCGTGCGCCGCGTGCGCTCGTCTTAGGGTCGACAGCGATCGCGCGCTTTGCTTTCGACTGCCTCGTGTTTTTCCTTCTCCTCCTCTT